CAGTTACTGAAGTGCGAGGTAGATTCAATTTTTTTTTATTATTTATTTAAGCGGGGGGGTGAAACAGATGGCAGAAAAACACCGCACCACTGGGGCTTCTAGTTTGAGAAGGGAGAGAAGAGGAAAAGACAAAATACAGCCAACTTTGTTAAATGCAGCCTTTATCCACGTGGTTTCTAAACAGCCTGACTCCGTTGGTGTGGTGGCTGCACATCAAGGTACCGCAGAGCCTGGTACCGGGTAGCTGCTTGCATGGTGTCACCATATTCCTGCCACCACCTCTCCTCAGCAACCTGTTCTCACTGATGCCTCACACCGGCGGCTGGAACAGTTGCGGTTGTGTTGTACAAACCGTAGCTTGCGTTATCCTTCAATAGTTCAGACTTAAGTTACGGGGCTAGAGAGAAGTATGTCACTGGTAATTGCATGCCTTAACTCTGCAATCGTGTTTGAATGTTTTAATTTCTTCTTCTGGGTGCAGCCAAATACTTTGGGGATTAGAAAAATACAAAGGATGGGGATGATGTAGGGGAAGTGTTCAAGTGTATGGTTGGAGTGTGTGGTTACAGACACAAAAATAAATAAATGCATACAACACTGTATAAATAAATACAACATTGGCTGGACTGACAGTTATATGGTCAATATCTCCTGTAGTTCCGATGTGCTGTATGTGAAATTGGACACTATGTGTTTGAAAAATTTGCATCTGGCCAGCTCACTTTATGCAACTCCTGTTAGGAAGGCCACCTCACCTGTCATGGAAATGACCAACGTAGAGAAGTATGTCAGATAGATAGTAACCTGTAAGTCCTGCTAATTCACCGAGGTAAAGTCCGAGTCCTCTGTCATTTGCAAGTGAAAATGCTGGAGGGGGTGGTAGGAAGTCTGCAGAGGTAGACCAGCTATCTGTGGCACTTCAGATTCAAGTGATGTTTTCCAGCAACGGGCCCTTGCAAGGGACAGTGTCAAGACCTTGCAAGGCTCCCAGTGGCAAGTTTGGCTTTTGAGGGTGTAGAGGATGTATGAGCCATCTGCAGAGAGAAAGGAGGACTCTGAGGGACGATTTCCTTTGACATGGCTTTGGAACTCAGGTTGAATCTCAGCATCCTCTGGCTCTGCAACCCCAGTTTGTTGGTCCCCATCCCCACTGCCAGAAAATGCCGAGCCCTCGGATGAATGCTGTCTAATCCAATTCAGCTAATGCTCCATTTAACCCAACTCATTGTGTAACTGCTCTCCAACACGCTTTGAGTCAAGCGGCTGTGCTGGGTAGGGTGGACACTCCAGCGGAGGTGGTCCCGAGCTGCTGGAGCAGCATCCTGGCCAGCCAGCCTCCCCGGGGCCAGGAAGGGTGTGGGACCCCACCCTGAAGCTCTACCGGGAGACCTGTACATCCCTCCCCTCAGAAGCAGAGAGAATCCTTTCGTTTGCTTCCCTGAGCCCCACGAGCTGGCTGCTGTGTTTCGAGAGATCTTCGTTACCCCAGCGGTGCCTCGGAGGGGCACACTCCTTCCCTGACCTCCCACGCGCGGGTGGCAGAGCTGGCTCAGCTCTGCAGCACATCTTACTTGAGCAGGGCATCATTTCTTCTCCACTTTTGTACAGCTAATGAGCATACAGCAGTTAAAGACACTACTGTGCCTCTTGATTTTCTTTAAATGAAGCTCAAAAATGTAATGTTTTTTTCTAGTGCTACCTCTAGCTTTTTATCGTTTCAAACTTATCTTTTCAAGCTGTGTTTTTCTGTCCTGACTGTGAGGTTACAAACTTTTAAGGCAACACGAAAATTACATTCCCGTGACTCTGGGGCTTTGGGCTTTAAAAATACTCCTGACACTGCCAGAGACGTTAAGATTTTACTTTGAGATAACTTGTTACACCTGCTTCTTAAAGGGACGCCTCTAATAAAGAGAAGTGACTCAAATACAGATTCGTTACTTCTCTTTGAGAACAATTCAGCGTATATTATATAAGAGATTCTACATTTTGCACGTGCAGTGTGCTGACATTCAGCGTACGTGGTGATACTGTTATGCTGCATCTGTGCATTCCCAAAATAACTTCATTTAAGCACACTTTAAAGTTGTCACACACGTGCTGAAAACACTTCACATTAGCAGGATTCTCCTTATATGAATTTCAGCAATTTTCATGTTGTTAGCTCTGGCCCACTAAGCAGCTTTCACCGAACGAGCAGGAATTGGTAGTGGATAGGTCCACGTGCGAAACAGTCTCGGAGCAAATGGAAGCAATCTTCTGGCAGGGTTACAACAGGGGATGAATTTGGATCAGGTTCATTCGGGCATCAAGTGTCAGCTTGCTTCCAGTAAATGAGATATGGAATGTAGGAGGTTCAGTAATAAGGTGTCTCCTGGAAACAAAAGAATCCGTGCCTTCCACCTTTATTGTAATACCGCCATGTGTCAGATAAGAGGCATCCTTAAATAGCCCAGGAAGAAAATCCGAGGCACAGGCAGGTGAGTTATTAGTGTAAGATGAGGATGACGGCAGATGCAGGAGCAGGGGGCTGCAGGGATGCTGCGACGGTTGGAAGTTGCCCGCGTTTTACCTGCGCGCAGGTACGACCCGCGCTGCTGCAGAAGCGTGGAGGGGAACATCTCGATGCTCAGTAAATGACAGCGGCCAGATTAGTTCTGGGCTTACTCTTCATTTCTTTAATGCAGACCTGCTCCACGTGGGTCCGTAAGCAGGTTTTAGACCAGCACTGGTGGAGCCAAAAAAAGTGGGGGTTTAGTGTGAAATTTATCCCCCTTCCAAGACTGCGTGTTCAGTTTAATTTAGGTAGGTGTTCGAGCACAGCCAGCAGCGCTCTGCTTCTGTGTCTGCTTTGCGCACGAACCTCACCCTTAACAGAGACACGAAAACACGAGCGCTTTATCTGCTCCTTTGAGCTGCACCCTTTTAGTGGACATGAAGAAAATAAGACCAGACATAAATGATTAATGCGGAATCTTGGAAGAAAATATTGCAGGGTGCCTTGCTGTTTGATTACAAGCCTTGGAATTAGTCAACATTTCCATAATTCTAAACCAATATACACCTGTTTTCCCACTGTGATGTGAAGGCACAACTTAATTTAACAGAAACCCCGCTGCGCTAAATCTCTCATTAAATACCAAGCTAGTTCTGTAATTTAAAGTTGCAGCACCACTATTTTAACTGAATTGCCTTTGTATTATAAAATTAATAAGAAGTTAATGATGCACTTTGCTGTATTCTCTCAGATTTTTTTTTCACAGCAACAACAACAAAAAAGAAAGATAAAGAAGAAAAACATGTCACCAGCTGACATCTCAAGGCTTTTCTGGTTTTAATCATTTTCCTGAGGATAAAATTCATTTAAAAGATTTTTTTTTTTTTAATTTTTAAAAACTTTCAGCATAAGTAGGATCAAACATCGTCTTTTTACTCATGATTAGTATAATCTCTCGGTTAGTCATAATATTCCTTGTCATATAATGGAGCTTTTATCTTTCCCCCAAAATGTATTTAGATATCTCTTGTTACAGTAGGATTGCTACTAGGCAGAGAAGAAGAAGATATACAGTGTTTGAGAAATACAGGCATATTGATATATATGATACATACCAACGAAATAGGGCCAGTTGTCTTCTGTTTACTTGGTGCTGGCATCACAAGTAGCTTTTATGTCTTGTAAATGAACAACACGAATTTCCAGATGTGTCTTTTCAAATACGACATGCAAGCGCGTAGCTCATATCCTGGCTCATAGGGATGCGGTTTGTATGATTCGATTTACAGTCAGGTTTTCTTGGAACGTTGGTTTGGATTTTGTTTTAAAAGGCAGCAGGGAGAAAAGGGAAAACCTCAATTTGAATGTAATAATGATCTTAGAAATGTGCTTCTTTGGGATGAGATGTAGAGCTGAGGCCTTAACTAGTCTCATCTTCATTAAGACTCTCATGGCTTCGTTAAAGGTGTTTAACTTCTATTCCCTAAACAAAATAATCCAATAAATTCCCCCCATCTCAATTTATTCTCTGCCTTCAGTTAGATGTAATAATCTTAGTCACTCCCGTGCTCTGATTTGGTGCTTAGTGAAAATTGGCTTCTGTACAGAGGGCAAACCTGGAAGAGCTGTACGTGGAGACTGCTTTAGCCGCTTTCGTGGCACTAACGTTTTGTGTTTGGTTTAGTTTTAACGTGCATTAATTTAAAACCAGAATGTGCTCTGTTTGGCTAACTAACTAGTGGATCTGATAGGATTTCCTGGCAAGAGTTAGGTGCAGACGGGTGACACAAGAGCACGATATGTTGGTTGGATCCTTGGAGCCCAGTACCCGAACAAATACACCTTTAAGCTCATACAAGGCTACTTGAAGTCAAGAATCGATGAGAATCCATTTGTAAAATCTACCCCTAAAACTCTTTGGAGTCTTTGTTCTGTATTTGAAGTTAGATTGATCTGACATGGCAATGATTATTTGTTGCCTATATGTATATTTTTGCATATATCCTGATAGCTAGCGGAGGTTATCACAAAAATAATTAACAGCCCACGCTGATTTAGTCCTCAGCACTTGTCTGCTTTTAACAGGCTAGTGGTTCACGTGGTTCTTATTTCAAGTGGGATATACATATTCCTAGTAGCAGCAGACCTTTTGTGTAGAAGTTCTGGCATGAAATTGGGACATAAGCTGTATGAATCAATTTATTTAAGGGTTTAACAACGGAGAAATGCAGTTTTGAGAAAGCTCTT